TTTAGGGAAGTATAAAGCTATTCTAGGTGTGTAATGAGGCAAGAACCTCTCATTATTTTTTCAGTGTTCTGCATCTTCAGAAAGTCTCTGCTAGTATCAGTGCATAGCAGTTCCTTGCCATTGCACCAAGGACATGAGGGAAAATGCCAAAAAACATATCTAAATAATTCAATTTTTCCCCTGAAGAAAAGAGAAACACATAATTCTATCTGAAGAAAACCTGGTTTAACAGTTACTTAGTTTCCTCAAAATGTTAGAATATTTTATTTTTTTGAATGAAAATATATTTTGCATTAATATAGCAAAGCTAATAATTTTGAATAGTGGAGCAAACCAAGTGCCTCAAAGCATATCTTAATAGATGATCACTATTTCACTATTATTGGTTTAAAGTAAACACACACACACACACACACACACACAGTTAACTAGCACAAGTTCTTAAATTGTATGAAAGGTATGGCTATTGAGTATTGCCCAAGTGAAATCAAGTAAATGAATAAAATGAATTTCTATGAATTTCTATGGCTCAGAGTGACTCAAAAGTAGCCAGCATTTCGTGGGAAGATATATACTGAATCACATGGAAATGAGTAGCTTGAACTCACATTTGGTCCACTCATAAAGTCTTCTTGAATGAAACAGGAGTAGTCAGGTAGACACAATTTTAGGCTTGCCCCTTTCCCTCATCAAACACATATGTGCACCTACAGACATGCATATATGCACACCTACATTGCACACATAATACTCATTTTAGGCTATTTGTAATCCAGGAACTATGAATAATTCCCACCCAATTAAAAAATGGATTTTGTCAATCTAAATATTACATGAATTGTTTACCATGCCTGCCTTTACATTGCCTACTTACAGCTAGTTCACATGAGGTAGCCACCCAACACCGTTACTACATAATTTAGAAACATATGGTGTAGCTTTGCCATGCCAACTTCTAGGTATTCACTCTACCATTCTGACAAAAGAAAGTTAAAAAAGCAAAGAGCTGTTTTCCAAATTGTCATTTATGAACAGCCAAAACATATTGTTACAGTCTGGTGGGGAGATTTTGTTTTGGTCATAAATTATCAGTACCATCATGTTATATTTAAATTCTCAGAAATGTAAGCAAAATAGACATATAAATGACAAAATACTTCTTTCAAATAGTCTGTTTAAAGCCCCCTCTTTTAATTGGGAAGACAATTGGAATGTACTCTTTCTCCCAGCAAAAGTAAAACCAGAATAATTAACTTACCAAAATTATCCAAACAATGGTTCCCTCTCCCTGTGCTCCTTCTCAATTTTCTTCTGAGCTGAAACATTTTCTCCCCCACCCCCTGCAGTTTGAACCACATAGAAAGGCTGACACAGGGTACCTGGTCCATTATCAGGGGCAGAGGCCAGCTAGAAGCCCAAACTTCAACTGCATGCAGCCTACTTATATAGTAAATCCTCATTTGTACCCCAAAACTCTAAAATTATTTTTTTAAGATAGCCTAACACAGTTTGGTGTTTAGATTGATCAGCTAACAGCTCATTTCTCTCCTTCATATTCTTTATGAAGTTACTACTTAAGTGTCCATTTTGCCCGTGACTATATTCAATGGGTGTTCAGAGGAAGAGGGATAGGCTTCTCTCACCTCAAACAGAAATAAACCTGGGTAAAGAAGTATACTTGATGTGTTGTCAAGATGCTAGGATTCTGTTTTTATCCTGAAATATTCCTGACTAAAGTTTCATATTTAAAATATAGGATTTGAAATCAGAATGTCCCACATCTCAATTCCCACTCGTACCTAGCTACACGATGCTTGAGGCAAATTACAAAGCCTCTCCCAATGTCACTTTTCTCTTCTAAAAACAAGGATAACAATCTGTACATTGTTAGAGTTATTAGATTTTTAAATGATCTAAGACATTTCAGTAAAAATTAAGGAAATTCGAATAAACTACAGCCTTTAGTTAGTAATAATGCATCAATATTGGTTCTTTAATTGTAATCCATGTTCCATAGTACTGTAAGATATCAGTAGGGGAAAATGGGTATAGAATATATGGGAAATACTCAATTCTCAATTTTTCAGTGAATCTAAAACTGTTAAAAAAAATAATAAACTCTTTTTTAAAACGCATCTATGTGCTTGCACATAGTGAGTACCTGAAAAATGGTAGCCAGTGTTATTTTTCCCAATTCAGCAATTATTTTTCATATCTCTCTCCCTCTCCCTTCCTCCTCACAGCCCCCCCCCCCCTGTCCCTTTCTCTACTTCATTTTTCCTCTGGCTTTTTCTAGTTTATCCATTTCTATTCTACAAACTCTAGTTTACTTTATAATTAGTTGATCTTTCTCCAAGACTAATTTTAGCTCATCAGTTCTATTTGCTGGCCTTACATTTCTATTGTTGGCTTTACATGATTATGCAAACTTTGTAATTACTTTTAGTTATTGTTTTTTTTTTTTTTTTTTTGGTTGGAGCCTCACTCTGTCACCCAGACTGGAGTGCAGTGGCCGCTCCCGGCCACCGCAGCCTCGACCTGCTGGGCTCCGGCGATCCTTCCGCCTCAGCCTTCCAAGTAGCTGGAACACCTGGCTAATTTTTGATTTAGTGTAGAGATGAGGTCTCGCCGAGTTGCCCAAGCAGGTCTCGAACCCACGGACTTAGGCAATCCACTCACCTCAGCCTCCCAAGGCACAGAATTACAGGCTGAGCCACTGAGCCCGGATTTTTTTTTTTTTTTTAAGTGAGTGCTCCAAGCTTTCTACTTGAAGAACAAAATACTCTTTTCCAGAAAGGCACTAAAAACATAAAGATACATCAAATAATTTTTTTTTTTGTAAAAGGGAAATGTGTATTTAGCTTCCCTGTAGAGCCAACAGTCCTACAGTAGCTTTGTTGGGATATGTATTTAGCACTTGTTTGCTGTGACAACTAAAAAATAGTTTGACCAAATGCCAGTGTTATGAATCTGTCCTGGAGTCTCTCTGATGTTAAGGTCATGTGTGAAAAACAGAACAAGCTTGCCCCTCAAAATCACAGCTTTGAATGGATTCAGGTAAAACATACAATCAGATCAGAAAAACTTGACCTCATAGTGATCTATCTCAGATGGTTGAAGGTTTGATTTAGAAGAACTGAGATCTCTGTGGGATTTTTCTCCATACTAGTGCTGGACTTAAGCATCTATTTAAAGTACAGAGCTCTAGAGACTTTGATAAATGGAAGGTTTAAAAAAATTTTTTTTTAATTTTAAGTCACAACAGTTTTCATTGCCAAGGGAATACGACTTTGCTGGTGCTGTTATCTTCAGGATAGATTTTGGAAATAGAATTTCCCATACTATAAAGACAATTACCATAATAATTCCAATCCGCAATGTCAGGCCCTCTGGACCCAACATCCAACTTTAAAACAATATCCAAATAACTTTTACTGCTCTGAGGATACTTTTGCTCAACCATAGTCTAAAATACAGATGGAAAAAGCAAGGGGCCAACAATACGGATGGAGAATGGTGTGTGTAGCTCTCCTTCCGTCTCTCCCTTAGGAAGTGAGTTTTATCTTTTCATGAAACTGATACGCAAGCTTGTGATAGCTGAAATAAATCATCAGTGCTGGGTGGTGTGTGTACATATACAGGCAAAACAAACAGAGAAATCTGTGCTAACTCAAGATAAGGGTGGATAAATACAGAAAGCCTAACACTCCACTACAGCAACATATAATTCAGTCTTAAATGGCAGCAACGGAAAAATTATTTTAAGACTATAGTCTCACAGTCTTGACGGGGTTAGGGCTGACTTCTCACATTGCCCCTTGGGGGCTTGACTGGCTTTTCTGCTAGCTCAAGTGCTGCAGATTTATATAAGAGAAAATAGAACACTGACTTTATTCACTAATTCACTCTAACTGGGTTCTTGACTGCTTCTCTTCTGGTCCCCTGCCACTGCCCCTCATCCTGCAGTCTCCCCAGGCCCTCCCTTTCTCTAGCTGGAAAACAGCTGATAGAAATAGGCGCCCTTTTTTCTTCTTTTCTCTTTTTTTTTTTTTTTTTTTTTTACATCAAAGCTGCCTCAGCCTTGCCCCAGCCTCAGACACAAAAAGCTTTTGATGCCTATAATTGCGAGGCTTTTTGCAGCTGTACTCTATCAAGCCAGCAGTGGCAGGACTTGAGGACCTCGGTGAGCCAGAAGGTGGCGGCGAAGTCACCTTGGGAAGAGGAGAAGAGGGTCAAAGAAAGGAAAGTGAAGGACCTGACCCCAGCGAAGGACCAAAAGGCGTGCCCCAGCTTTAGGGTCAGTGAGAAAGGACCAGGGGGCTGGAGAGAATACCGGCCACAGGGAAGCAGCGCCCGAGGACCCTTAGGCGGCCCTGGTCGGCGATCAGCTGACCAGGGCAGGGAGAGAAGTGTGCCTTTCGCGGAGTCACGGGAAGCTTCGCCTCCACGGCTGGCTTTCTCCCGCCTGCCCCTGCGGTTGCTCTTTGCCCCAGCAAGCGGAGCGCGGCTGCAAGACGCTCTTCCCTCTCCACCCTGGCGCCCCCACCTGCCGGGTGTCCCCGCCCGCCGAGCGCACGCCCAGGA